ACCAGATCCCTTTTGTTCTTATGCAGTTAGTAATTTTTTGAACCTAAGCATAGGACTTTGCATTTAACCCTAATAAATTTCATCTTGTTGCTTTTGGCCCCTTGTTGCAGCCTGTTGAAATCTTTTTGAATCTGGCTTCTGGCATCTGTTTCCTTAGTTATCCTGCCTAGCTTTGTACATCGGTGAATTTGACAACCAGTGTTTTGTGATAGCAGAAATCACCTTCATAATCCTTTCTATGCAGAGTCTCTGTGGGGGGGGGGGAAGGAGGAGTGTATTTTGTTTTTGTCTTTAACAAGAAACATCGATGAAAGTAAAACATCTCATGTAATTGAGGCAAATGAAAAGTGATTTTTAGTGGGCTAGTGGGAACAGATGATGTCATAGGTAAGGGAAATTGAAGTCTGGGAGATATAAAAGTCCTTTATCCTTTGGGGTTATGGGCAGCATTTGGAAAAATTTGCTGTTTCTCTGTGCCCTCTGAATGGAAGCTTGTTCTAATTTTGTCTAATGCACAATTGAGGAGCATTTCTCCCTGGTGTAGAGATCATTGCCATTATCTTTGGAAAGGTTCACAGTTGTTTACTTCAGTGTGCTGCGAATGGATGATAGCCAACATTTATAAAGCACTTTAAGACTACTTTACCTGTATTCTCTCATTCTATCTTCATAACAACCCTCTGGGATAGGTGCTGTTATCATCCCCATTTTACACATGAGGAAACTGAGGCAGAGAGAAGTTAAATCACTTGCCCAGGGTCACATTGAGTTTCTCAGGCAGGATTCAAACTCAGTTCTTACTGACCCCAAGTCCTTCACCCACGCCACTGAGCTGTCTGATGTAATCTACAGAGTGTTAGCAATCATAGAACGTCATTCATAGCATAACTTAGTTTTAATTCAAGGTGCTATTTTCCTGATGACCCCCAGATTGTCACACTTAAATTTCTTTGAGAAATCTTCATGCTATCCACACAGCATAATTTTCTCTGAAATTAATTTATTTTTCTAATTCAATGTCACCAACTTCTGACTTGAAAGATACATGAAGAAAAGCAAATTTGTTGTAAGAATTCCTAGGCTGGTAGAGCTGGCACTGGAAAAGACCTTAGATGTGTCTAGTTCAACTCCTTTGATTAGGTGAGAAGTGACTTGTCCAAGGCCACACAGGGAATAAGGTGCAAGACACCAGAAGAGGATTTCAGGACTCAAGATGAATAAAACTTGTAATGATCAGAAGAATTTTAAAGGATTTTTACGAGATGAGCTCTGGCTGAACCACAAGTATAGTAGTAATTGTTCATTTTCTTCTGTTGCTTCACCAGATGAAACAAGCCTTAATTAGGTCCCAGTTTGCTTGCACTTACAAAGATGACTTCATGACCAGCCATGAGAGATGCAACAGTAAGAACGAGGCCGAAGGAGAGCCAGCGTGTACACCTCACCTGCAAAATGCCCTCCCTGGTAATTGTTGTCACTTCATCTGAACAGTTTATAACTAGCTCTGAGCTAATAGCAGAATGGAAAGCCAAAACAAAACAAAACAACAAAAAACCAAAGTATTTTAAGTGATGGGAAATTTATCCTGAAAGCTTTCATTTCTTTAAATGAACTAAAATGTTGTGTTTTGCTTAAGTGAATCTACATAACAGTTTGCAAGTGCATAAAGCATCCCACTTGAACTTTTGATTGATCTTAAACTTCATGAATTAAGAAAAAAAAACATTTGGAGTATTTTAGATATCATTTTTGTTCTTCATTTGAAGACTTATTATATATACACATATAAGTTTAAATTCTTCTCCCCGATCAATATTTCTTTATTGTAAGGCAGCTCACTCTACCTTATTCTTCTTAAACCCATCCTTTATCCTCACTGCAAACTCTGTTCACCCCACGCCTGCCTGCCCGATTCCCCACCCACTTATTCTGTCAGTCCATCATTCCTTTTCTGCTCTTACTTTCCTCCCTGAACAGTCTCAGCCCTGCAGTTAACCAGTTCACTGATCCAGCATCTTGCACCCTTGAACCCCTTGCTGCCCTGTTGGCTTGTCACTCACCCCTGCCAACTCCCTGCCCTCGGTCGTCTTCCCCATCTGCCTTTTCTGAGCTGATGCAGGAGATGCTGAACATTTTTTAAAAGGAAGCACTCAACAGTGCTGACAACAGCCATTACAAATTCATTTTTTGTCATCTCGTATACACTCTTATTGTTTCATGGAAATCCTTTTCTTTTCTGACTGATTGTCTATCACATATTCTATGTAATGACTTTTCTAACCCTCTTTTCTCTTGTAAGCCCCCAGAGCTGCCTCTTCTTGTGTATTAGCAGATAATATCAAGATCGTTTGTCACCAATCTTCTCATTTCTCCTCCTTTGTACATTATGTCCCCTCAATACATTATTCATCCTCTTCTTTGCTCCGGTCTCTGAGCATGAGATGGCTCTCTCGTTTGCCAAGGTTAAGCTCTTTATCTCCTTCCCTCTGAACTCCTCTAGGATCTTGCCCCATGAGTTATTTCTTCTCTTTCATTTCAATCTCTCCGTGTCATCTTGTTCCTTTCCCACTGACTACAAATTTTCTCAAGCTTCACTTGTCCTTAGAAACCTTCACTTGACTCTGACATCTCCTCAAGTTGGCCTTCTAGAACTCCCTTCCCATTTACTCCCAGGATTCTAGAACAGGGGTTCTTAGCCTGGCTTCCATGGATAGATTTCAGGGGTCTATGAACTTGGGGAAAAACACATCTTTATTTTATTTTCATTAACCTTTAAATGAAATTTAAAACTCCAATGATTCAAAAACATGATTTGGAGAGGAGTTCCATCAGTTTTACCAGACTATCAACAGGGTCTATGACACAAAAAAGGCCGCGAGTCCCTATTCTAAAAAGAAGAGGTCATATTGACTATTTTTGCTTCTTACTCACTCAAGTCGTTTTTCACCACCTCGTCATCTGGCTTCGTACCCAACCTCCAGTCCATGATAGTCCTCTCTCAGCAAGATTTTGTGATCTCTTAGCTGCTAAACTCAATGGCCATTTCTACCTTAAGGTGTTTATATTCTGCCTTAAGGAATATATGTATTACTCCCTTCCTCCTGCATGCTCCTTTTTTTCTCTTGGCCTCGATGACAGCTATCTTTCATTTCTACTTCTACCTCTCTGGCCACTGCTCAGTTACCTTTGTTAGATTACCATCTATCTCCTGCCCCCTAAAAATGTATGTCATCCAAGACACCACTCTGTCTGTATACTCTTTCTCTTGGGGAGCTCATCTGCTCTCACGGGTTCAGTTATTATCTGTAGGCACACTACTCTCAGATCCATAAGTCCATTCCTAATCTCTCTTTGGGACTCCAGTCCAGACACTGATTCCTGGGTGTCTAGTTGACATCTTAAAAACAACCTCTCCAAAGTGGAACATATCACTTTTCCCCAAGCATTTATCTTCCCCAAACACAGTATCTATGGCCATGTTTTCTCTGCCCCAGGCTTAACTTTTAAACTTTTAAACTTTTACAAAGTAAGAGATTCTTTTAAATAATGTGGTAATATAGAGTAATATGAGAAGCAACTTGGTGTTAGTGGCTAGGGAGCTAGCCTTATAGTTAGCAACACATAGATCCAAGGTCTGCCTTTGCCGCTTATTGCTTATCTGACCAAGAGCATGTCTTTTCACCTCCTGTTGTCCCAGGAAGCTCTAGACTAAGTTGCAAGTGATGTGCAAGTCTGCATCAATAGAGAGAGTTTCCATGTTGGAAATCCCCTTCAGCAGTGAAATCCTAGGTCAAGATTGGCCTTCCTCCCTCCCAGTCCTCCCAAAATGTAGAATGGAGATGCTTTATAAAATGAGACTGGCTAATATTTTTAGTTTTGTACTAAATTCCATGACAAATTTAATTTTTAAGATTAATTGCAAACTAGTTCAAAGTCATGGAGATTTAAATGTTTAAAATATTTTTCTGTAAGTAACCTTTGTGACTAGACAAAATTATAAATTGATTGTTTATTAAAAGAAAGTGTTTTGTTGAGAATCACATTTTAGGTGACGTAAAGAGATAAGAATTGAAGACCGAGGAGTTTGATGGTCATACGCTTACACTGGATACCCTCTCACTTGAGAGCATTCCTATTTAGTTAATCAGCTGACCGGATTTTATATAAAGAATGTTTGTTGAAAACATATAACCTTTGAATGTGTTAGCCTACTCTGAATTCTTCTGGGCAGTAGTACTGAATAGGTATTTATTTTCCTTTTTCTCTTTTCTTTTCTTTTTCTTTTATACCTCTTGCATAATAGAAGGCACAAATTCATTTAATGGAGTACCAACCCTTGGAACAAATTCTGGAAATGTTCAGCTGAACAGAAGTAAAAATGAAAAATTATCCAAAAAACCAAGTGGTCAGACAGGAAACAAGGGCCCCAAGAGAAAACAGGTGGATTTGAACGGTGACAATGGCCTCTGTGATCGTGAAAATGAACTGTCTCAGCTCCAAATGAGTAAGATTCCTAAGACGTCGAGCAATCTACAGAGTAAATCAAAGCAAATACTAGCCAGATCAGCAGTGAAAGGCTGCAAGCCAGCCACCAGGAATAAATTGATTGCAGGGCAGACAAAATTAACTCAGTTTTTCAGGCTCTGAATTTGTCTCTTTTGTTCTCTGGGTGTCTGTATTAGTCACTACCGAAAACCGAGTCATCATTGAAAAGGTCATGACTATCACCTTTGGAAAGAGCAACATGTCAAGTACACTCGTGCTCTGTCTGATGGAAATATAGGACGTTGAAGGTGTTACCATCAGTCAAGTAGACAAATGAGTCATGATCGTGCTGAATTCTCACAAAGTTTATTACACGGCAAAACGATTACATTTAGTTTACCCAGGAAAAATCTCAACCGTTTGTTCCAAAATACAAACATTGATCACGTGTACATTTATGAAGCACAGGAACTTTCATGTTTTGTTTCACTGCCACCTAAATAGCTGTGTTTTCTTAGGAAAAGATGATGTAGGCCTGCAGGTATCAGATTTGCCAGCAAGGTCGATAGACTCTTCCCAGCATGCACCTGAGCACTGTGTAGGGAAAAAAGAATTCCAAAAGTTCAGATTGTTAAAAGGAATACATTACAGTGACTAAACTAGAAATACACGAATGATTTGATTAATGTAGTAATTCTGAGTAACCAGAATTGCTATAATTTCATCAGTTAGTTAACTTATTGTATGCTGAGTGCTTTATATTAAAAATTGTGTTTTTACAATGGTATCCTTGTTTGATATTGTTTCAGTTATCTGTTTATAAAGCCATATTCCCATTTTTGATAACTTTTAAGATGTCTGAGTTGAATAAATAAAACTACTCACTGTCAAAATCTCTCCTTCCTATTGGAAATTTAACTGAGTTTTCTTCATCCCCAATCTCTCTCCTCTCCTGTGTTGATTCAGTATTCTGAACTCCATTGTCAGCCGGAAAAGCCAGTGATCCCTTCAGTGCAAGATAAGGGAGCTGCTTAAGAGCTAGGTTCAACGGAAGACCACGGCTTAAGAAACTATGTTTGGAGCCTACGTTCTGTTTAAAAGAAAAAGTTAAATTATGTTTCAGCTTTCTTATTATAAAATGGAAGTGTGCAGAACATGTGCATGTTATTTAGTGACATCTGTTTCATTTTTGTTCAGAAACACTTGCATGAACAGCGTTCAATAGGACTGAAAACCTTGTAGGGTATACAGTATCAGCACTGATGATATTGAAGTGTCAATCGGATTACATTAAAGCCATAACTATCCATCAGAGACATTTTTTGTGGAGCTTTAAGAAGACAGGTACACAAATGATTTTCGACTCCTATTGATGTTAAGGAAAATGAAACTGGATAGTGACTCATACCTTTGGATTTCTGCTCTCCTCCTCATTGATAAAGCCACCCTCCTCGGATTTATAATGTTCAAGGGAAGGGGCAGCTCCGGATTTCTCTGCAATATCTTCCTTCTGAAGGGCTTTGCCTAGCCCAAATGGATTTAGGAGCATGTCGTCCTCCACGGTTCTCATGGATTTTGATGCTGAAAGCAAAAACGCTTGGGAGAAGAAAGACAAAGTTAGTATGAGCATGGAGGATGAGAACCCCATGTCTGTTATTCTCCCACTGTTTGCCGGTGCCTTGGAAAAGAAAGCCTCCTCAGTTGACATCCTTCCTCCACTGTCCCTACCTTTTATATGTTTTCCCCTGCGAAGAGAGAGCACTGCAAGGATTTAAGTCTCTCATTTCTTGAGTGACTCATCAAATGAAGACACTCACCTTTTGTGTAGCTAAAACCTTACATTGTTTAGATTTGGTCATTGTAGATTTTTAATCTGCAGCATGAATTTTCTCAGGGTGTGATTAAAAGTCTTTGTGGAAGGCTTAGTGTACAATAGATTAGACAGTCTTCATAAATGGGATGCTATTAATGTAGTCCACAGGATATCTGGCTCTTTGTTCATCCTCTTCTTCTCAATGGAACTTACCTTTTGATTAAATACATTAAAAAATCCAACCATTCAAAGATGACAGGTAGAAGGATTTTGTTTCATTTTAATCCCTGTATAAGGTGTAATTGCTTTTAAGTGATAGTTTTTTGATAAACACTTGACAAAATAAATCCCTTATGATTGAAATACACATGATGGTAAACAAGTTTATAACTCAGGCATTGCATCTGAAGTCACAATGTTAGTGATCTATCTGTATACTTCTGAAAAAATACTTTTTGTAGGACCCTGATACATTTGCTTGTTCTTCGTATCTTCAGTGCTTAGCACATTGCCTGGCACATAGTATGCCCCTAATAAATGCTTGTTGATTGATATGATATATTTTCTTTTTTCCTTTGGCATAAAATTCACTGTCAGCACATATATTTGGTATCAAGATAACTGTAGTCCACTCAGGTCTTCCTCTCTCCTTTTCTTCCTCCCTTCTCCACCCTCTCTAATCCAACTCATTAAAAGACATTTTCAGGATGAGATTTCCATCAACAGTGGGGGTATCCTGGGCTGTAGTAGCGTGTCCATCTGGCAGGAGAAAGTTAGTGTCAATTTAACTTCAACCTAAATGAGACCCTTCTGATCATTTCTACCTCTGGACAATATCCACAGGATGAGTAGGGTCTCCCATTGCAGTATTCCCCTAGGTGAGGGGAGAGGTCTACCCAACTTCCAAGGCAAAGACATACTTTCCCTACCTAAGATTAACCACCCCCTGTCCAAAATCAGTCCCCCAGAGTGTGCCCGCTTAATACCTACCAAGGATAGGCATCATCCAGTACGTCGTTAGGCAGGATTAGTGGTAATGGGTTTTTTTTAATATATATTTTGCTGATTCTTAAAGCAAAGGCTAGGTTCAAAAGATTTCCTTATTCTTACAGCACTTCTGGGCAGATGGCTTAAAGTAGGAGCCATTTTGGGTATTGATGGTATCTTAACAATGATCAGATATCAAGTAGGGTCCTTTTTTGTCCCCTGTCTTGGGAAGATAATCCAGGACCATCTCAGCAGGTAAGGTGAACAACCTGGATTACCTTATATTTGCGGTGGAAATCCTACTATGGGCAGCACAGCCTAGCCAGGACTCTCCAAAGTGGCTTCCACTTTGGGCCAGGCTTGACACCACTGTGCAATGGGGTATGGATAGTGCCAGACCCTGGACTGGAAGATGCTGGTGGATGGAATAGCAGCAACTTCTGATGGTGAATATGGGGGGGCACTGATGTTGAAGACTACAGCAGCTCTTGGTCATGAGTGACACCCCAGATCATCTCTCCAACCACAAATTTGCTGGTGCATAGAGCCTGGAAGATCTCAGCGTTACTACTTGGGTGACAGGTTGCTTCCATGATGACGTGCATCCAGGTTTGAATGAGCATAGGGTGGTGCAGGTGTCATCCCCTCAAAGTTCAGAGCAGAAGGCAGCTACTTTGCTGATGTGGGATAGACTGAAGGAATAGTACCGTCCTCTCCTGTGGCTGCCTGCTGAAGCAATAGCCCCTGGGTCCAAGCCAGAAGCAACCCCAGGAGTCTCCCAGAAGCACTGTGTACCCTGGGAAGATCTAGAGAACTTGATTCAGGCTATGAAGTGCCTGGAAGTAGCCTATGTGTGTTGGGGGTGGGGGGAGGGAAAAGGGGGGGAGCCCAGGGCACCTCCAGGAAGCCCTCAGCATGAGGCAGAGACACTTCATGCTGTTCATGTACCGAGACATGTCTCTCCCTTTCTGGCTGCATCTATCCTGCAGGACCAGACCAGGGCAGCTGAGTCCAGGGGGGTCCCGGCACAGCACCCAGAACAGCGGTGAGTGTCCACAGCCAAGCTCTCGGGCACTCAGAAGCCCTGGCTTTGCTCTCTGCTCCTGCAGGAGCTGGACACCGCCCCCCCCCCATCTCCCCAGCTGGACTCAGCCCTCTTCCTTCTTCTTTCTTCTCTTCTTCAGCCACCATCTTCCCCAACCAATCAATAAACATTTATCAAGCACCTGCTCTATACCAGGCACTGTGCTAAGGGCTGAGGGTGCAAAAAGAAGCAAAAGACAGGCAGTACTTGACCTCAAGGAACTTTCTGATCTATATTTTCTTTTACTATTTTTTTATTAATTTATTTTGATTTATCAGCAATCACTCCCATAAGCTTTTGAGTTTTAAATTTTTCTCCCCCTTTCTCTCTGCCTCCCTCCCCAAGATGGCACACAATCTGATATAGCTGATCTATATTTTCATAGTGTATCTCATCTGCCATCCTGTTCAAGCGATATTTTCAATAAACGTGTTTTGAGGACGATGATTATGTATTTGTTTTTGGTTAGTGACTAAGGACATTTCAATTTCGAGCAACACATATTAGGCACTTCCTGTGCACAGAGGACCGAGTTTCAAATGTAGGAGGAAGATGCAAGGATTAAATACAGCACCGTCTCTGCTCACGCACTTTACAATTTAGTCAAATACAACCCATATGCAGAGAATAGTCATCGGAGAGGATCCAGATGTGCCTCAAAGAAGTGCAAGCCAGGTGTTGGGGGAGGTTCAAGTTCCGGGGGGAGGGGCCAGCACCCGAACTGTCTGAGGGCTTCAAGGAGAGTTTCTTGAAGGCGGTTGGAGTAGCAATCAATCAAGAAGCATTCAGCAAGTGCTTGCTATGTGCAGGAGAAACAGTCCCTGACCTCAGGAGGCTTACATTCTAATGGGAAAAACAACATCTAAATGAATAGGTAAATACAAGATATATACCAGCTACCTGTACCAGAATGCAAAAGCACGTTTTAAGCACTTACTGTATGTAAAGCACGGTGCTAAGCATTGGAGGTAGAAACAGAAAATCGAGATAGTCTCTGCTTTCAAGGGGCTGATACTCTGATGGAATCGACCGCACAGGGTTCACATTCATGTTGAATTTGTGACAGATGGAAAGTCCAGGCAGTAATTGGGGGTAACAGCCAAGCAAATGGCAAAGCACTGGGCAGTAATGGTGCGGCAGAGGGTCCTCTTCCAAGAGGATGGAGGGCACCTAGGGGTGAAAATGGATTGAGGCTCTGGGGTCTTTTCGGGAGAATAAAGATGTAGGGGTCACCATCCAGCCGACGGTGGGCATCTTGTGACTGGTGGGAACTGGGGAACTGGGCAAAAAGGGTCGGTTGGGGAAGGGAAAGGTCCATGCTCCGTCACCTTACTGCCTTTTGGTGGGCTAGAGGAAGGTAATCTCAGAAGTTAAGGCACTAGCTACCGGAAAGTCAAGGAAAGAAAGGCCTTCTGTGGGCTTTGAGCTGAGGCTTGAACAAAGCCAGAGGTGGAGGTAAGAAGGGGGCATATTGCAGCACTGAGAAACAGCCAGTGGAGAAACACAGAGATAAGATGGGAGTTTCGTGTTCAAAGAATAGCAATCAGGCCAGTAGGGCTGGATTGTGGGGTAGATGGAGGGCACAAAAGCATACAAAAACTGGTAAGGTAGAAAGGGGCCAGACTATGAAGAACGTTAAAGACTATTTTGTATTTTATTGGGATTGGTTGCCCCATAGCACCTCAAAATCATTATTTCCAAAACAGACCTCACAGACAGTGAAAAAATATCAAAAATTTTCATAGCAAGATTTTCTGATAAAGGCCTCTTTTTTCAAATATTTGGGAACTGTGTCAAATTTGCAAAAATAAGAGGCAGTACTCAATTGATAAATTGTCACATTATTTTTTCTTGCTTTTTTGTGATATGGCTAAAACAGAAATGTTTTGCATGATTTTACATGTGTAACTATTGTATTGCTTGCCTTCTCAGTGGGTGGGGGAGGGGCAGTAGGGAGAGAGAATTTAGAACTCAATTTTTTAAAAAATGATAAAATAATACTTTTAAAAAATTGTCCCCCAGCAAACCAAGAAAATGATCAACACCTGGAAGGTATTTATTTTATTTATTTTAATTAATTTATTTATTTAAAATTCATTTTAACATATTGAATTCAACTTGGCATAATGGGAAGTCAACCCACACTTTCTTAGGATTTATGACTCCATCAGGGTGGATACTCTTTCTACTGATACAGAGTCCAACCCCCCTCACCCTAATGGATATTCTTCATGAGTTTCTGACACTGGAGGTGGGAGGTGGGGGGAGAGAAATCACTACCCAGAGGCCAATCTCAGGCAATTTTTTTTTTAAAGAGATCATTGATCACTCTGGACAGAGAAGTTTTAGTTGAATGATAAGGTCAGAAGCCAGACTGCACAGAATTTAGAAGCAAGTGAGGGGACTTGAAGTGTGGGTACCTTGTGTAGATGACTTTCTCAATGGGTTCAACCCCTTGAGGAGAGATATTTGATGATAGGTAGAGGGGTTGTAGGATCAACTGAGGGGTTTTTAGTGATGGGGGAAAGATGGGTATGTTTGGACAATGAGGAAGAAGCCAAATGATAGGAAGAGAGAGGGTGAAGATAAAAAGAGAAAGTGGGAATGATACGAAATCTGCCGAAGTTTGGAGGAGATGGGATGATATGTGCATACAGAGGTGTTTGCCTTGGTAAGGAGAAGGGCCACCTCTTCATCCAAGGATGAAATGAAAGAGGATAGTGGGGAAGGCATTTGATTAATGTCACCTAAGCAGAAGGGAAGAAGAAAGAGTTCTTGGGGGAATGGCCTCAGTTTTTTCAGTGAAATGAGGCAGGATTCTCCACTGAAGAGGCAGCAGCAACCATGAGAGGTTTGAGAAAGGACAAAAAGTTTTGGAAAAGTAGCTATGGTGAATGGGATAATGAATTGATTAGGGATATGTGAAAGGATTGCCTTGTTATGGTGAAGGCCCCATTGAGATTATGTAACTCAAGTGTGTAGTAGACCCAATATATAAGCTTGCGTGATTCTTCTCCATCTATTTATAGGCACATTAGTAGGAGTAAAGGAGGCAGATGATAAGAATAATTCCAGGGCTGGAGTTTGGCAAGACCTGATCTTTGATGAGACAAGGGAGGAAGAATTCAAGAGCAGAGGACATTGCAGAATTGAATCACTTTGCCAAGGGATTGATGTAAGGAAGGGAGGAAAAGTATAACCAATGTATGGGCGATGGGAAGGGAAGGGAAAGAACTGAGAGGTGAAGAGAGTGGAAGTCATGATGAGGATGAAGAATAATTCTGAGTTAGTCATAAAGCATATAGGGAAAGATGGAATAAGCGATTATGATCAGATAAAGAAGTTTTACATTTCATGAAAATGGAAATAGAACACCTGTGGGTGATGGAAAATCAAGGGTATGCTCATCTCAAAGAAGGGTGGCCAGCCCAGGATGGTTGGGGAGGGAGGAAGGAGGGAGAAGTATATC